AGAGAGAGGGAAGAGAGAGGAGAGAGAGAGAAGAGAGAGAGGAGAGATAGGAGAGAGAGGGAAGAGAGGAGATGGGAGGGAGAGGGGATAGAGAGTGAGGGGAGAGAGAGGGAAGAGAGAGGGGAGAGAGAGGAGAGAGGAGGGAGAGAGGAGGGAGAGGTGGGGAGAGGGGAAGAAGGGAGAGAGGGGAGGGAGGAAAGGAACACTCACAAAAGCTGGCATCCAAGAGAGAGCAAGTGACTAAGGGAAGGGAAAAGAGCAGAAAGGGAGGGTGATAACATCTGAATGCTCAAATATTTTCCTGAACTTCAAAGGATATTTATGTTTTACCATGTGGAAAGTATCACCGACCCAGTCCTATAAAATTTATCTCTTGCCTCAGATGAATTGTGGGTATGTCTTGGTTTTCTCCTTTCCACTTAACAATGGCTGAAAATCAGAGAAGACAATTCCCATACACATGTCTACAGAGATGCCAAAAACATGTATACACATTTTAAGGAAAAAACTGTATTAAATTTGTAATACTCAAGTCATGTTTGACTTCTGCAACTACAAGAGGTGCTCAATGCGACTTGTGTTCATCTTTTGTTATCAGCACATATTATTTTTTCTTTCTTAAAATGTGTGTATTTTTCGCACCCTCTGTATAATTGACAAATTCAGTGGTCCATTAGATATAATAGTCAATTGGGTCATTTAAGGAAAGTAAACAGTCATATTTATTTTTTGGTTTTTCTCTTACAACTTCAACTTTAATGTAAGGGAAATCCTGGGCAACTGGTAGAATCATACCAGTTTCAGACATGCTGAAACTTGTTTAAATACAAATATGCTTTAACATTTGCTTGTTCTGAGGTTCTTACAGCAACACACATAAGCAGTTACTTGAGTGGTCACTCATGTGTTCAGGTTCAAAAAACATGACCACAGGCAGCGCCTGTGGCTCAGTGGGGAGGGCGCCAGCCATGTACACCTGGGTTGATGGGTCTGAACCCAGCCAGGCCAGCTAAACAACAACAAATGCAACAAAAAAATAGCTGGGTGTTGTGGTGAGTGCCTGTAGTCCCAGCTACTTGGGAGGATGAGGCAAGAAAATCGCGTAAGCCCGAGTTTGAGGTTGCTGTGAGCTGTGATGCCACAGCAGTCTACTGAGGGCAACATATTAAGACTTGGTTTCAAAAACAACAACAACAATAACAACAAAACACGATCATAGATTTTGTTTAACACTACATGTCAACAGCAGGTTTTCTGAAGCAGAGAATTCTGAGAAAGGAGCAGCTCTCATAGTGTCAGGGTAAATATAATCATGGCAAAGTTATTAGAGGTCAGAGAAAATCTGTTATGTTAATTTTTTTTTTTAAGAGACAGAGTCTTATTTGTCACCCTTGGTAGAGTGCCGTAGCATCACAGCTCACAGCAACCTCCAACTCCTGGGCGTAGGCAATTCTCGTCTCAGCCTCCCAAGTAGCTGGGACCACAGGCAACCGCCACAATGCCCAGCTATTTTTTGTTGCAATTTGGCCGGGGCCAGGTTCAAACCTGCCACCCTTGGTACATGGGGCTGGCACCCAACCCACTGAGCCACAGGTGCTGCCCTGTGTTAATTTTTTAAGAGCTCCTGACTACATATGTTTTTTCCTTATGTAAGATTAGCTTGAAATATTTCTCTACCAAGAAAAAACTGTTTTCAGCAAATGCTTTTATTGTGGTTGTGATGCAGGAGTCTATTTTCTTAAATACTTTCAGATCTAAGTAAAGGTGAAAATAAAAATAAGAAAACTCAAGTGAACATAGAAAAGAAGCATATTTACACATGTCAAGAACGTGAGGTTTCAGATGAAGGCCTTCCACAATCTCTGCTTTTATTCATGGTTTTGCCACGTTAAAAGTAAGTTCTAGGCTCGGTGCCTATAGCTCAACCAGGCTAAGGCGCCAGCCACGTACACCTAAGGTGGCGGGTTCGAATCCCCAGCCCGGACCCGCCAAACAACAATGACGGCTGCAACCAAAAAATAGCCGGGCGTTGTGGCGGGCGCCTGTGGTCCCAGCTACTTGGGAGGCGGAGGCAGGAGACTCGCTTGAGCCCAGGAGTTGGAGGTTGCTGTGAGCTGTAATGCCATGGCACTCTGCCCAGGGGGACAGCTTGAGGCTCCATCTCAAAAAAAAAAAGTAAGTTCTAGAGGTCAGGTGATTCCATGAAGCCACTTAGGACTAATTTTATTAAATGATTTATGACCAAAACTATGTTCTAGAAACAAAACAGCAAACTGTTCAGTGAAAGAGAGGGAGTGTCTGCAGAGTGGGTGTGGGGCAGTGGGGGGACATGGGCTGGAGAGGTTTCCACCCCCTCCTCATCCCCAGTTACTCTGCCCACCGTAGCCAGTATATTCTGAGTGTTTTCCATTTTCAAATATACACATACTAAAAACTAAACTGTGAAGTTTCTAACCTCTGTTTTGAATTTTCAGATGACAGTTATAGTCTGTGATTTTCCAGCCTAAATTACGGAAGACATTTCGTGAATCACCATCACACTGAGACGAGGGCCGACAACACCAAAGAGGTGCAGGGATCTGTTCAGAGTCTAAAATGCATCATCAAAAACAGCCTTAATCTACTCCAGTGATAATGTTTTCAGAATTTCTGGCTCAAGATTTCAGTCTTATTTGTACATAAATAGACATTAGAAGACAATTGCTTTATAGGTTTATTTCATATAATAAGCTATTTCTTACAGATAAAAGAAAGATTCAGTTCTATTCTATTTAAAATAGTAAAAGCAAAAGATGTGCCTTAACTCCCAACAGGATTTCCACAATAGCTAATGCAGCGGGTTTAGTCTCAGAAGTTCCTTGTATCAGGGAACTAGCAGTAAGCAATTTCATACAAAGACATACTACAGACGAAATATACAGCTATGTCTTTACACAAGTGTGTGAGTGGGTGACTTCCTCAAGCTGTCACTCCTCATGGGAAGGCAGCAGATCAGCTCAGATTTCCCCGAGGATGCTGCTCCTTCTCTCTGAAAACGCAGGTCCTGAAACAGTCAGATACTGCTTTTAAAAAGCCAGTACTCAGGCTTGGCGCCTGTGGCTCAAGCAGCTAGGGTGCCAGCCACATACACCTAAGCTGGCGGGTTCAAATCCAGCCTGGGCCGGCCAAACAATGATGGCTGCAACCAAAAAATAGCTGGGCGTTGTGGTGGGTGCCTGTGGTCCCAGCTACTTGGGAGGCTGAGGCAGGAGAGTCGCTGGAGCCCAGGACTTGGAGGTTGCTGTGAGCTGTGATGCCACGGCACTCTACCCAGGGGGACAGCTTGAGGCTCTGTCTCAAAAAAAAAAAAAAAAAAAGCCAGTACTCAAGCATGAGAGGTTCAGAGAATGCCCAAGTAATCTGACCTGCCCTACCCCAGAGAGAACCTCCAAATTCTAGAAGTCAGGTGATTTCCTGAAGCCGCTTAGGACTAATTTTATTAAATGATTTATGACCAAAACTATGTTCCAGAAGCAAAACAGCAAACTGTTCAGTGAAAGAAGGGAAGGGTCAGAGCAGATGGCTCCTGAAGCACATGTGGCAAGATCTGGACGCTGGTGCAGACGCATACACAGGACAGTGCTGTTTTCCTACCCTTTGCTAAGAAATAAGTGAGAGACTTTGATGATGGGGAAAATACAAAAGAAAATAGTCTTGGGGAGGACACACTATGAAATACCTAGATAAAAATTTTGTTTCCTTTACCAACACCCTTTTGGTCTGTGAGGAGTCATAAATATACAAGAAGTCTGAGGTGGAGCCAGCTGGGCCCTGAAGAGGTCAAATGACCTGGCAGGAGAGAGATCCTGAGGCAACATGACTTTCTTCTGCTTATAGAACAGTAAAAGTTTATGGCTTAGGGCACAGAAATGAGAAATGCCTGGGGGTCAGTTTTGCTGATGTCCTCAGGCTGTTCTGGTCCGGCTAGGAAGCCCAGTTGTGAGGGGGTTTGGGTCAGCAGGAGTCAGAGGCAGATTGTTCTTTTCTACCAGGATTTTGGGAGGATGTTTTCTCATCAATACTTCCGTTTGCTTTCTGAATATAAAAGACTGTATTTTACAAAGTCTGAAGTTACTGAACTTGACCCTCTTGTCTGGGTGGAAGTTAATGTTTTACTAATAAAGAAGTTGATGTAAAATGCAGTGTGCAGACCAGCGATAAAGACGATATTGTCTTTAAGGGGGTTTCACATTTCCAGGCAACTGCAAAAACATTACTCTGCTTAAGGCTTTAAAGCAGAAACAAAGAACTACTGAAACTCAAAAGATCTGTTTACCTCCCTCCACCCAAAAAGAGATTCTTACCAGGTTCAGCTGTAGATCTAGGCTCTGCATGCCACATGGAAAAAAAAAAATCAGAACAGAGTATTAGAATGGAGCTCCATTAAATAATAAACTTACCAATCTGTTTCTGTAACACTGTCTAGAACACATCTGCAGAAACATTAGCCAAATTCCACAGTACCAAAGAGGTGACAGAAGGTCAATTCTCGTTTCTATAAATACAGACACTTGAGTGCCAGTTAACACCTCACACTAGAAAGTTTTTAAACTGCAGTTCATAGATGACCTGTGGTAGATTTGTGAACCTCCTAAAATTATTTACCCAACTTTGAGCCCTAATGTATACTTGCATTTTTTGAAGAAAGGAAATATAACTTCCATCAGTGTTTCAAAGAGGCCACTGCTTTAATTTACCAGATCTCGCACACTGCGGAACATCTGGTCTTTCCACTCTTTGAAAATACAGTTCAAGGCTGGGCAAGGTGGCTCAGGCCTGTGATCCCAGCACTCAAGAGGCCGAGGTGGGTAGACTACTTGAGCTCAGGAGTTCAAAGTCAACCTGAGTAATAGTAGACCCCATCTCTACTACAAATTGAAAACCTGAGGCAAGAGGATTACTTGAGCCCAAGAGCCTGAGGTTGCTGTGAGCTATGATGGCACAGCACTCTACCCAGGGTGAAATAATGAGACTCTGTTTCAAAAAAAGGAAAATATAGTTCAGTTCACTGGAATGATTATACCCTCTCAGTTTTTCTGAAGCTATAGAAAATAAAGCAATAAAGTGGTCAGATTTAGGGAAATGAGCACCTCTCCTTACTTTTCTGTAGAATTCTGAAATCTGGAGAGTCTTGGATTTCACTCCCTTGCCGGAACCACTGCACCTGCAGAGGGGGTGCTCCACGGGCTCGGCACTCCAGGACCACAGCCTGGCCCTCTGCCACGGCTGTGTTTTGCAGATCCTGAATTCAAACAAGATGTCCCCATCAGACACTGGTACATTTTTAGCAATTTCACAGTGCAGAATAAAAATTCAAACTATAGACAAAAATCCAAAATACAAATGCATCACAAAATAATGGCCACTGACTTAGGTAAAGATGGACACCTTTGTGCCCACTGACCAGCACTCTTCATAACCTCCTGTCACAAGTTGAATAAGGTTCTGCAGAATTCTCTGGCCTGTCTGCAAATTTCATTGATTCTTTTTAATTTACAGAATTTGACAGTCACTACTGTTAACTTTCTCCCTCTGCATTTAGAGCAACTGAGCCAGTGGAATGCACGCTTCTCAACACACACTCCAAATGAACGTGAATTCTAATAAAAACCAGTTTAAAAGCATATACACTTGTTTTCACATGCTCTAACCTTTCCACATACTCCCCACCAGCTCTGCCCACCGCACTTCCTATGTCAGGTTTGCTGAGCAAATGGATTTTCGTATTTCGTCATTGTGAGAGTCGCCTTTCTCCCTCAGTGGGCTTCACTCCCTCTTCACTTGCTGTGTTTTGCTCCCTCTCACCCCATTCCACCTCCAGACCTAAACGTTCTTATGATCCAAAATATTAGAAATTAATTTGGCTTTACAGATGCAGAGAGGTATAGCTTTTCATGCTTGTTATTAAATATCAGGACATCAATAGCTCCTTCACATTTCTTCTCTCTCTCTTCCTCCCCCGGGATAAACTAACAAAGGGCTTGTTTAAACTTTTTGACTTCGTGTATTAGATCTGATGTAAAGCATGAAGGCCTCTTAAAATAATTCAGACATAATAAAGTACTTTACCTATACACAGACCCAAAAGCAAGCAAATTCACATTAGGGAGTGTGTGTGGGTTTTTGTTTGATTTGGTTTGGTGTGAATTATCTGAGGGGACAATAAATGATAACCTGGGAAAAAACAATAGCTACAGTGAGTGGTGGTCGGTGTGCTGAAATCCTGTGGGACTTCCAGAAGTCTAGGAAGTGATTCTTCCACACAACTTTTGGAATCAGGTTGCTAAACCCATGTTGGGATTTTAGCTAGATTTGCATGAAGTATAGATTAATTGGGAGTCAGGACTTCACAGTTTTCCAGTCCACATGCATGGCACCATCTTTCCTTTTATTTCAGCTTTTAAAATGTCTTTTAAGAAAACTTTATAATCCCCCCTCAAAAAGAAAAGAAAAGAAAAGAAAAAGGGGATGAAATGCTGTCACAGAGCGATAGGGATGTCATCCAGCCTAGATATGCAAATCAGTGACAGAACAAACTGAAAATTAGTCCATTTTTATGATTTCCTACAAAACCTCCTCAATCTCCCAAGCAATTTCCCACACACTTTTATGCCTTATATTTTTCTACCATCTTGGCTTTTCCATTCAATTTTAAGCTCTAGCAGGTCCCTGACCACATCCATATCTTTCAGACTTGTCACAAGATTATTGTCACACAGTAGTTGTTCAGCAAATATCTATGTAGCCCCAAAGGTAACCGTGATAGTCAGCCTTCTAATCTGTTCACTGTGATTTGTAAAGACTGTTACACAAAGTCACATGTAAGCAGAATTCAAAGACCACGGCAAACGCAGAGAATGGGACTTCCAGATGTCAGACCTTGGTGAACACAGGAGGGAAGTAGGCAGCAGTGGTTCCATCAGGTCGGCAGAGATATGAAGTTGGGCTTTGAACCTGAAAAGGCAGAGACAGATGGATCAAATTCTAGATGCACAAATTGCTGAAAAGATGGGATAAAGGAACTTTCATTATGGGGAGTGCTGCACAGGAATGAAAGCATCACCATACATCACTCTGCAGATGTTGTTCAGCTTCCTTTGTTCACATCTGTTACTCTTCTCTGTCCTAAAGGATATCCAAGGTAAAAGTTCCCCAGGTCCCTGGGGATCCACAAGCTTTTAAATGCTATTACCAAATGGATTTCTATGTGTGGGACTAACACAAGGATCTTTTTAAAAGTTCTCACAGACCTTACATTTTATTTTTAAATACAGCCTGGAATCATTAAATAAAAAGCATCAGCTATTGGCAGTGGAGGGTTAAAGTAAGTTATCAAGCATCTACCTGTCTTATTCTTAACTTGCACTCTTTTCCAGTATAGGGATTATGGGAAATGAGGAGAAAAGGAATATGTATTACTTTTGTCTTGATGTGCCCCCCCCAAAAAGAAAAGAAAAAACAAATAAAGGCACTAAAACACTTATTGAATGGTGAATTTCTTACTCACATCTCTAGATACGTGAATAGTGAATGGAAAACATTTCTCTGTGCGCCATCACTTATTTTCAAATAATCTGGATTTGTTCACTTATATAAGTGGTTGCTAGCTTCTTAACCCAAGATGATGGTGACCTGGTATTACATATCTAAATATGCCACAGGAAGTCATGAAGAATGTTGCAAAGGTTGTAGACAAGATAGGATGGTAACGGACCTTATTCATTACTCCTGGAAGACCTTTTTGTAGATTGTGATTGGGGGGGGCTGAGTTTCACATTTCACTTTTTATGTCCAAAGAATGTATAAACACTTTTATAGTATTTACTCTGTGCCACATATATATGAAGATTAATGCACTGAATCCTCTTAATAATACTGGGAGATGGGTGGTGCCATCATCTTCATTTTGCAGGTAAATAAACTAGGCATGTCATTTGCTTACGGCCCCATGGTTAGGAAAAGGTAGTTCTGGGGTTCAGATCCAGGCAGTCTGGCTCCAAAGCCTAACCTTGGTGTGACAGTCCCCAGAGCCATTGAAAGATGGAGCTTCTCTTAGCACTTCACTCTCCCAGTGATAAACATGGGATGTGTTACATTATCAGTATTCCTGCTGAGGTTAAGCCATTTAAAAATGTGCTCTTTGTGCTATTATGATATGCACATACTCAGATACACACATAGCTTTCTGTTCTTAGGCTTCTGTGTTACACCTGAACACATTCCATCATATTCAGTGAGTGTTTCAGAAATATTTCTGTAAAATTCACTCTGGTATAGGGGTTTAACATTGATGATTAATATGCCATCTCTGAGTAATTTATACTGGTTGATGCAAGTTTATGAACACAAATGCCTTTTCTCTGTTGCTTGCATTTTCTCCCTATCACAGAGTGTATGTCACACACTTCAGGTACAAACCCCTCTGAGTGCTCCTTAGACAATAAAGGTGGCACTGTGATGGCCACAGGACAGGGATGAATTCACATCTCAGAGTGTGGGGAAAACCCTTCTCTGAGTGTGGTCTTTAATATTAACTGCCATGTGAGTTGTATTTAACTTACAATAGTTTTAAGTCC